AAGATGATACTTTATTATTCCTTTTGAATAAAACATTAATTATTTTATGTGCTATTTTATAAATCATAATTCAAGAACATGTGTTTTTTATTTATGCGCTTGCACCTGCATTTCTAATACATTGTCTGTGTTTAAACCAGACAATGCACTGTAGAATGGTGGAGAGAATGGTGAATATTTTATTGCTCTCTATATCCAAAAAGCCCGAATGACCCTAGAAATCAATTAAAAATGACCAGGTTGGAGGATATGTTTTCCTGGAGAATTGCCCTCACATATTTTGCTACATTGTTAAAAATAGAAAACATACATTTTTTGGTAGTACTAATTAAATTAAAAATATTTTTATTAATTGATTTCATAGAAAAAGAGTAGAGAGAAGGAGAGAGAGAGAGAGAGAGAGAGAGAGAGAGAGAGAGAGCGAGCACGTTTCCTGGGCAGGCCTGGAAGTATAAATTTTAATCAACTCTTTGAGCAAAGACAACTTATCACTGATAATTACCAATCACCAAATCTGCACTGGTTGCAGAATGAATATCTCCTTTGTGGTTTGAAATTACTTTGATACCAACATTGCATCTTCAGGAATGCTCAATGGGTTTAGCAGAAAGAGTGGAAGTTAGAGAAAGGACATATTAAAAATGAGCAGGGCCAAAAGAAGATGAGTTCCAGGAAGAGAGATTTTGATTTTATGATTCTCTAAATTCTACCATTCCCATCAACAGCACAGAGGAAATACACTGGAAAATTAAAATAAGACAAGAAACTAAAATTGTTAATCTAAATAATGTGGGTTTGTGAATTCATATTTGAAGTGATGGGCTAACTCATGTAGAAATAAAATATTATGTTCTTAATAATAAAAGGATGAAAAACTTTAAAATAGGCAAAGGTGTTGATTGGCAAAATTTAATTGGTAAGAAGGAATGTAATTAAATATTTTTATTTAAATCAAAACTTTTTATGCTATATGATGTTTATTTTTTACCTCTATCAGTGCTTATGTTCTAAGTTTATTTGGAAATAGTTTTTCTTGCAAATTGGAGACAAAGATTTCTCTCAGTTTTAGAAGAAAATTAAATGTGTCACTTGATTTATTTTAGTTGAAAGTATGACTATAAAATATTTGGCAATCAGTGTTCTGAATTTATTAACAGTTTTTATAAATTAGAGAAGTTGAAAAAACATGTTTTATTGGATAATGTCTTTTGGTAACATGTTATTAATAATGAATGACTTTTTATGAAAAATATAAATACACTATAATTTAATATCCCACTGAAAGTATTATTACTATTTTTATGGATTTGCAGAAATCATATCTGCATGTATCATATTAGATATTATAAAATGGGGTCAATTTGTATAAATATTTTTCTAATTTTACATCTAAAGTATTTCTAGAATATTTAATAAAATTACATATTCATCAATGTCCTTATTTTTTTATTTTATTTTATTATTATTTTAAAAAAATATATTTTATTGATTTTACACAGAGAGGAATTCAAAGGCACTGAGAGTTAGAAACGTCGATGAGAGAGAAACATCGACCAGCTGCCTCTTGCACCCCCCCCACTGGGGATGTGCCCGCAACCAAGGTACATGCCCTTGACCGGGATCGAACCCGGGACCCTTCAGTTCTCAGTCCGACGCTCTATCCACTGAGCCAAACCGGTCCCGGCAATGTCCTTATTTTAAAATGTAATTATCTGAATGAATAAAATTATTTGAAGAATTGCTTATTTTTAACTCTTTAGACTGTTTTCTATGTTTTACTCTGAAAGTATGTCATGACATATAGCTTCAGTCTAAGATGGATGCTGAATTGCTTTTTGAGAAAGATAGATTTTACATTATATCCTAAATTTTTTATTCCTCCTTAGAAAGTTATTTAGTCTGTTCACATTACTGAACTCACTATATTATTGTTATAATAGTTTCAATTCTTAATTGGATATTGTAAGGCCCCAATCAGATCAATAGAAAGTAAGTCTACTTTATTTACCAATTAAGTATTTACCTGAATTTTATAATTTAAATTTTTCTCCTTCTAATCTTGTTTAATTGTTTAGAGATTTTAGAATTTTATTCAACAATAGGTTTCGTCAGCACCCTTGTGTAGGTCTAATTCCAGTAAAAAAAAAAAAAAAAAAAAAAAAAAAAATATATATATATATATATATATATATATATATGTGCTAGAATTTAGTTAATTATTAATGCTCACCTCCATAGTACTTCTATTCTCAGAAACATTAGTATTGCTTTAATTAAGGATGTTAAAGTATGAAGTGACATCCTCTAAAATATTACTACATATTTATGGTTTTTATGTTTATTAATCTCTTCACTGATTATTTAGCAGTTAATAATCATTAACCTATTATATACGTATCTCATTTAATTCTTATAATTTAGGTCAAAACTATTTTATCTATTTTTTGTAGGTGAAATTTTAAAACAAAGAAATTAATTTTCTCAAGACTATATAACTACTAATAAGTGATAAAGTAAAATTTGCAAAAATATCCTTTTGATTCTAAAAATCTTAACTTTGCCATTTAGCACTGTTTCTATATTTATTTTAATTGATTTATTACAGATGTCTCTCATTTTCCCCCTTTGCTCCCACCCCACTTGAGTCCTTCACTACACTATTGATTCTGTCCCTGAGCTATGCATAACTATTCTAATAAAATAGAAAGATGCAAGTTGACCGTATCTTTGCAATGCGCACTAGCCAATCAGGAGTGAGTATGCAACAAAGATGGTGGGTTAATTTGCATACACAGGCCCTGAGTGGCGTAGGGGGTGGTGGGTACCAGGCGTTCCACACTGCCCCAGCCTCTCAGGGCCTCTGGGCAGCAGGGGAAGGCAGAAAGGCAGCCCTGGGGCCAGAGCACAGGCGGTGCCATTAGCCAGGGGAAGGAAGGCCCATTCTTGCACAATTCTTCATGCATTGGGCCTCTGGTATGCATATAAGTTCTTTGGTTAATGTCTTCATGTCCTCCACCTACACACACTCAACGCCCTTTCCTCCGGATTCCTCAGTCTGTTCCATGCTTCTATACCTCTGTATCTATTTTGTTCATCAGTTCATTTGGTTCATTAGATTCCACACATGAGTGAGATCATGTGACACTTGTCATTCTCTGACTGGATTATTTTGATTAGCGTAATACTTTCTAGGTCCCTGTATGCTATCTCAAAGGGAAAGTCATCCTTCTTTTTTATAGCTTTACTAGAGGCCCAGTGCACAAAATTCATGCAAGGTAGGGTACCTAGCAGCTGCAGGCTGCTGTCTGGGGCCTTCTTTCCAGGCTGCTGGCTGTGGGTCAGGGCCTTCTTTCATTCCACACTGCTCCCCTGGTGGTCAGCACACATCATAGTGAGAGATCAAACTCCTGGTCAGTCAAACTAGCAAGGGCACACTTTGCATATTAGGCTTTTATACTGATAAATATAGACTAGAGGCCCTGTACACAAAATTTGTGCACATGAGGTGGGGTGTTCCTCAGCCCAGCCTGCACCCTCTCCAAGCTGGGACTGATGGCTTCTAACCAAGCCTGCCTGCCTGATCACCCCTGACCCCTCTTCCTTCCTGCCTGATTGTCCCTAATGGCTTGCCTGCCAGCTTCATCACCCCTAAACACCTCTGCTGTGACCCCCCACCTCCATGGCTTCATCCTGAAGGGCATCTGGAATGATGTCCAGAAAATTGTTTGGCTATCTGGTCTAATTAGCATATTACACTTTTATTATTATAGATTATTATAGATAGCATTCCATGGTGTTAATGCACCACACCTTTTTTTTATCCACTGAAGATGGGCACTTCAGCTGTTTTCAAATCTTAGCTATTGTAAATTGTGCTCTGATAAGCATAGGGGTGCTACAATTCAGTTAATTATTAATGTCCACCCACATAGTCCTTTCTGATTGGTGTTTCAGGATTCTTAGGATATATTTCCAGAAGTGGGATCGCTGGGTGAAACAGCAGTCCCACTTTTAATTTTTTGAGGTTATTCTATACTGTTTCCACAATGGCTGCACCAGTCTGAGTTCCTACCCGCAGTGTAAGAGGATTCTCTTTTCCCCACATCCTGGTCAGAACTTATTTTCTGATTTATTAATGGTAGTCATTCTGGCAGGTGTGAGATGATATTTCTTATATCAATAACTAGTGATATTGAGCATTTTTTCATATGTCTACTGGCATCACATATTTGTCCTAATCCCCTTCATTCCCATCCCAAACCACTCCCCATGCACGTCCCCACCCCCTGTTGTCTGTGACCACTGGTTGGGCTCATATGCGTGCACACAAGTCCTTTGGTTGTTTTTAAAATAGTTTTTATTGAACAGATCTGGATCATATCTTCAGAATCACAGAGCATTACCTTATAAATGAGTCTATTTGTGAATATGAATCCTTTTATATATTACTAGAGACCCAGTGCAGGCAATCGGGCCTGATCTGGGCCTTCTCATCCAGTCCCGATAGGGGCTGATCGGGGCCAGATGGCCAGTGAGATGGACTGTGGAAGGTTGGAGGTTGGGCAACCACGGGAGTTTGGCTGTGTGAGTGCACTGACCACCAGGAGGCAGTTCCTACATTAAGCGTCTACCCTCTGGTGGTCAGTGAGCATCATAGTGATCAGGCAACTGGTTGTTCAGTCCACTTGTTGTAATGGTCACTTAGGCTTCTATATATATATATTCCCTGCTTATAAAGCTATTCATATAGTTTCTTATTTTTTTAAATTTTTTCTTTATTGATTAAGCATATATGTCCTTAATCAGTAAAGAATGTACTGGATAAGGATATGTGTCCTTATCCCCCGTTGCCCCTCCCCCAACCCCCACGCATGCCCTCACCCCCTGTTGTCTGTATCCATTGGTTAGGGATATATGCATGCATAACAGTCCTTTGGTTGATCTCTGGTTTCTTATTTTTGTATCTTTTTATTTCTAGAGCTTGAAATCTCAGAAGTGAAATGGAGAATCATACAACGCAGATAGAGTTTATCCTTCTGGGACTGACAGATAATTCTCAGTTACAGATTGTAATTTTTTTCTTTCTATTTCTGAATTATATGCTGAGCATGATAGGAAACTTAACCATCATTGCCCTCTGTCTACTGGATTCCCATCTCATGACCCCAATGTATTTCTTCCTCCGAAATTTCTCTTTTCTGGAAATTTTCTTCACAAGTGCTTGCATCCCCAGATTCCTTATCACCATTGTAACCAGAAGAAAGACCATCTCCTATAATGGTTGCATATCTCAGTTATTTTTTTACATATTCTTGGGCGCTACAGAATTTTTCCTTTTGGCGGCTATGTCCTATGACCGCTATGTTGCCATCTGCAAACCTTTGCATTATACATCCATCATGAGCAGCAGAGTCTGTCATCAGCTTATACTCAGTTCTTGGGCAACTGGATTCCTAGTCATTTTCCTTTTATTGATTTTGATTCTTAATTTGGATTTTTGTGCTTCAAATATAATTGATCATTTCATTTGTGACATTTCTCCTGTACTGCAGCTTTCCTGCTCAGACACACACGTAGTGGAATTGATTACTTTTTTCTTAGCTGTGATGACCCTTATTGTCACGTTGTTTCTAGTAATCCTTTCTTACTCTTACATCATCAAGACAATTCTAAAATTCCCTTCAGCTCACCAAAAGAAAAAAGCCTTTTCTACTTGTTCTTCTCACATGATTGTTATAACTATCACTTATGGTAGTTGTATATTCATCTACATAAGGCCATCAGCAAATGAAAGAATCACTTTAAGCAAAGGAGTAGCTGTGCTCAATACTTCAATAGCTCCTCTGTTGAACCCATTCATTTATACTCTGAGGAACCAGCAAGTTAAACAAGCCTTCAGAGATGTATTTAGAAAGGCTCTTTCTGCTTTAGACAAGTAATATTATTTATTAAAAGAATTAATATAAAAACATAAAGGAACATGGAACAAAACCAATTTTGCCTCTTCTAGTTTAAGAATTAATCTCTAGTAATTTAGATTTTTTTAATTTACTGAAGGTTAGAAACTAACTCTATTGTATACATTCTGAATTTAATGTTCTTTTCTTCAAAGTGAAACCTTACTATGTTAGAAATATAGAATTGTAAAATTTATTTTCTCTAAAAACATGTTAGAATAAAATGAATGAAAATTTTGATATTATTATTGATTATAAGTTCTCTAAGAGCTGTAAGTAAATATGCCATGTTTTATTTAAAAGCCATGTTCTTTAAAATGTTGAGATAAAGTGAAATTTGCCATTATGAAAAGTTTAATTTCTTGAATATTCCAATTAATATATTAATTTTATGACCTGTTATATAATTATTAGTTTTTAATTCTATGTTAAGTTTCCCTCTCTCAATAAAACAAAATATCAGTTTCTCAAAATTCAAATGAGTGATCTAAAAATAAAACTGCATTTATTTGCAAAGACATATGCACCCCTTTATTCATTGGAGCATTATTCACGGTTGCCAAGACACCGAAATAACCAAAATGTCCTTTGATAGATGATTGGATAAAGAAGATGTGGTACATATGTAACTGGACAATCAGTGGGTCCATGCTGTCTGTCACTACTTGAGCCAATTTGGCAGAGACAGGATTGAATCATAAATGAGAGTATATTCCAAAACTGCTAGCCATATGGGAGAGCAGCTGGTCTTCCACAAAAATATGCTCTGTATCCCACCATAAGCCAGCTGCATATATTTAGGCAGAAGGACAAAGATTACATTGGGAAGGATGTGCCAGGTAACAGGTAATGGGGGCTGGAGATTTGTAATGCCTTCAAGTATGCAAAGGTTCAGAGTCTTCAAAGGGCTAATGAAAACCAAAGGGCTGGGAATTTTCAAAAGCCTGGGGTCTTCAAAGGGCTGGAAGCTCTGGTTTCTGCAATAAGGTTGTTTCCATGAGAACAGGCAGCTCCCTGATGAGGAGGATGGGCTGCATTTCCAGGTGAGCTCCCAGGTCCCACAGGCAGCTCCAACCAGGTTAGAGTGTGCCTTCTTTAATCAGAATAAAACAATCACAATTAACCGAACATGATTAATATTCCTTACAGTTATAGCTGGTTCCCAATATTCTATTGCTGCCCCTATCACAGATACACAATGGAATACTACTCAGTCGTAAAAAGATGAACTACTACCATTTGCAATAACATGAACAGACCTTGGGAATATTATGTTAAGCATAATTAAGTCAGACAGAAAAAGTTAAGTACTATCATTCATATGTGGGGTATAAAACTTAAAGCAACAAATGAACAAACTTGAACAATAAATGAAAATTTACAGACATAGACAACAGTATGGTGGTTATCAGAGGGAAGTGAGTAGGGAGGTAGTAAAGGGTAAAGTGGACCCACTATATAGTAATGGAAGATTTGGCTTTGGGTAGTGTGCACACAATGCAATATTTAGATGAAGTACTATGGAACTGTACTCTGGAAACCTGTATAATTTTATTAAGTAACTAGAGGCCCAGCGTGCACAAAATTGGGTATGAGTAGCTCGCTTCTGCTTGCCCCAGCTGGCTGCCCTTCCCATCACCGCCCGCTCGTAGCTCATTGACTTGCCCTCTGCCCTCATAGCTCCCTGTTGCTCATAGTTCTCCGCCATTAGTAGCTCACTGCCCTGCAGTTCACTGCTTGTAGCTCTCCACTGCCAGTAGCTCATGCCCTACCCTGCCCACTGGTGAGAGTTGCTGCTCATTTGGTCACGATGGCATTACAGCATGACGGCCAAGGGCTTTTTATATAAGGGAAGTCATCCCAATAAATTTAATAAAAAATGATAAAACTCTGTCTTTTTCGTCCAAAACTGGGGTATGAAATTATATTTTTCTTAAGTGTCAGCTCTTAGAACACAATTATGCCACAACTCTTGTATAATTATCCTAATGGAGATGCCATTAAAACAGTTGGTTTGTGCCATAGTGGTGACTAAGCTATTAGCACAAGTTGTTATTGAAGAAAATGACACTGAGGTTTCTCATTGTAGGAATTAAACATCACAAGCACAGACAGAAAGTTTTTAAAAGTACTCTGTATAGTTTTGTCTTAGAATTAGATGTGTTAATATGAACATATCTATATTTATCTATCTATAAAAGCCTAAGAGACCATTACGACAGAATAACCAGGCACTATGACACACACTGACCACCAGGGAGCAGATGCTCAATGTAGGAGCTGCCCTAAGTCCACAGGCCTTGATGGCCAATGGGGCCTGGCAGCCAACATCTTGGTCCCTCCATATATTAGAGGCCCCATGCATAAAATTTGTGCACTGGGTGGAGGGGGTTGTCCCTCAGTCCATTTTGCATCCTCTCCAATCTGGGACTCCTTTAGGGATGTCAAACTGCCTATTTAGGCCAGATTCTAGTGGGTCTAAATTTTCATTAGCAATTCCCACTTTTTCAGGCAGACACAGAGTTGCTAAATCCCTTAGAATTTCCTGGATGATAATTACAAGTAGGATCAGGCCTAAATTGGCAGTTGGACATCCTTCTCACAATCCAAGATTGCTGGCTCCCAACTGCTCGCCTGTCTGCCTGCCTGATTGCTGCTAACCACTTTGGCTGCCAGCTTGATCATCCTGTAACCACTGCCCGGCCAGCCTGATCGACACCTAACTGCTTCCCGGCTGGCCTGAGTGCCCCTAACTTCCCTCCTCTGCCAGTCTGGTAAAATCCTCTGGAAAACAAGATCAGCAAAGAAATACAGTCCTAAATGACTCAATAGATCAGATGGACTTAATTAACATATTCAGTACATTTCACCCCAAAGCCATGGAATAAACTTTCTTCTCAAGTGCTCATGGGACATTTTCAAAGATAGACCACATATTGGGTCACAAGCAAAGTCTCCCCAAATTCACGAAGATTGAAATATCAAGCATCTTCTCAAACCAAAATGGCATAATTTTAGAAATAAACTTGAATAAAAACAATCTAAATAATTCAAACCCTTGGAAGCTGAATATCATGCTATTAAACATTGATTGGGTTACCAAAAGATCAAAGAAGAAATTAAAAACATTCTGAAAGCATTCTGCCAGAGAAAGAATTCAGAGCATTGGTCATAGGTAGATGAAAAGAATTGAAGACAATATATGTAAGAACAAAGAGGAAATGAAAAATGATATAAAGAACTCAATAGACAGCATCAATACTAGACTAGAAAAAGCAAAGTGAAGGACATAAAAAGAGATAAGGAAGTCCACTTTATAATACTAAAGGGAGCAATCCAACAGGAAGAAATAACTCTCATAGACATATAAGCACCCAAAAGTGGAGCACTCAAATAAAATAAAATAAAATAAAATAAAATAAAATAAAAAATAAAAACTTCTGGAAGATAACAAGTGAGAGACTGGCAGCAATACAGTCTGGGGGACTATAACACCACACTATCACCATTGGACAAATCCTCTCAACAAAAAATCAGCAAAGAAACATCAATTCTAAATGACTCACTAGATCAGATGGAATTAATTGCCATCTTCAGAACATTTCACCTGAAAGCCACACAATATACATTCTCCTCGAGTGCACATGGATCATTTTCAAAGGTATACCACATTTAGAAAATACAATGTTGCTAAAGGAAAGATAAAAATAGAATGTAGAACACTAATCCCAAAATAATATAGAGAGAAAATAAAATGACATTTAAGAAAAAGGTAAATAGTAGTAGTAGTAATACTGGTTAAAAATAAAAGTGTAATAATTAAAAAGATAAAATCAGGAGAGGAAAAAGAAAAAAAAGTTTCTTTTTTTTAAAGTATTTTTTAAAAATATATTTTATTGATTTTTCACAGAGAGGAAGAGAGAGAGGGATAGAGAGTTAGAAACATCAATGAGAGAGAACCATCGATCAGCTGCCTCTTGCACGCCCCCTACTGGGGATGTGCCCGCAACCAAGGTACATGCCCTTGACCGGAATCAAACCCAGGACCCTTCAGTCCGTAGGCCGACGCTCTATCCACTGAGCCAAACCGGTCCCGGCAAGAAAAAAAAGTTTCTTAAGTAAAAGATGAAAAAATAAAAATGTGCAGTAGTGAAGGTCATTCACTTCCTCTCCTGTTCCGATTGACACACCTGTTTCCTAGTCAGGACGTTCCCTGCATTCCACTGCTCCTCGGTGTTGTAGGCCACAGTCCTGATTTTCAAGCGGGCAGTACTTCTTTGTTTTTTACACTCCTTTATTTGTGTTTACAGTCAATTTGTGAATCAACCCCTGGGTGGCGGTGTTTCTGGACTGACCTCTGGGCCTATAGGTCCTCTCTAGCTAGTGTTTATATTTTGTTTTTCCTGTGGCACTTAATACCGGTTTGGGGAAATGGGCTGCCCCAGAGCTGGTTCTCTGATCATTATTCCCCCTCTCTGAACCCCAGGTTCCAGAAAACACCTTTCCCCCGCGGTCTCCCAGAATGTCCCCAATTGGGTGATCCTATATGTCTGGCTTAGAATCAAAAGCAAGGATTTAAAGGGGAAAAGAGCCAGAGCAAGTGCACCCTCTCTGTCACTGGGGTGCAAGTCCACGCAGTCTTTTCTCCCCTTGGGTCCAAGCAGCGGGCACACTGTCAAAATCCCTCTGCTGCCCTTTCAGTTCAGCTATAGGCTGCTTTTTTTTTTTTTTTTTTTAATAATATATTTTATTGATTTTGTACAGAGAGGAAGGGAGAGAGATAGAGTCAGAAACATCGATGAGAATCATCGATCAGCTGCCTCTTGCACACCCCCCACTGGGGATGTGCCCGCAACCAAGGTACATGTCCTTGACCGGAATCGAACCTGGGACCTTTCAGTCCCCAAGCCGACGCTCTGTCCACTGAGCCAAACCGGTCCCTGCTAGGCTGCTTTCTAGAGCTCCCTCCTGTTAGCATCCTT